TCCTTGTTTAAGAAAATATGCCTTTTTCAATGTCTTTAATCTTTCTTATGTAATCAGACTCTTCAATACTTTCACACAACAGCCAATATACCCCAGCTGAACAACCACTCTAGGGCATTCGAAGACCTACGTCAAAGCGAGCAGGCAGCGTTCATCTATGTGTGTGCGAGTGTTTGTGTGTGTGCATAATATGAAAATTTATGTGCGGAAAGGATTGAAAATAAATTTATGAATTATATTGGTTAGAAAATTGCATCTACTCAAGGATATCCTTAATGTTTATAGGATATGCATGCGTTTTACTGCCGGTGTGCGCCATTGTCTGCTGGCTGCAGGCGGGCAGGGGGCAGGCGGCAAAGTCAGGGAAGGCTGTCAGGTAGTATATGTGGGAGCTCTAGCTGGGCATTGGGCCATTGCAATTGTATCTGTTTCATGCGACAATGTCCGTCGCTGAATTTATTGTTTATTTGATTTGCATTGTGCGTGGCGACATTTGACAGGAGTCGGCGCAAGGATGCTTCCAGCTTCTAGGCAGGTATAACAGCTGCCAGCAGCACAGTCTATACATGTTTCTCTTCTTCTTTCCTTCTTTTTTGTTGTTGTATTTGTTTGCTTGTCATCCTATTAGCGATAAGAGCAACAATTTGCCCTCTAAGTGCTTTCCAACAACAGCCAAAAATGTTGTCAAACACAAAAACAGAAAAAGAAAATCAAAATCAAAATCAAAATCTGAGAAACCGCGCTGGAGCCTTGAATGACTGTCGTCGACCTGTCGTTGCTTATCATAAAAATCCAATAAATGCTGCTACTGCTGCTGCCACTACACACACACATACACACACACACACACACGCACAGACAGAGTTTCATATTTATTTGAAATGTTGTCTGCTGGCTTGGCCTTTTACGATTTGGTATTGCTTCACCCTCCATCATCGTCATCTTTGGTTGTAGTTTACGACTTTTCCTTTTCGATGTGTTGCTTACTCTCCCCATCTCCCTCCCCCTCTATCTCTCTCCCTCTTCCTCACACTTTGCTTGCACGATATCCTGTGGCAAATCTGTCAAAGTTTTGTTACATGACACTTGCCCAACCATCCGCATATGCCACACAATCAAATCATACACTGCAAACAAAATGTGTGTCATTATGTGCTGAAATACTTTGGGCACATTCGAAAAGCTCTAACTCGACTAGATTGTTGCCATCTCTGTCTATTCATCTATGCATTTTAATAATCACCTATCAAAGCTCACTTTCTCAACTTGAATTTAGCTCAGTGTATTCACACACCTTCTCAGGCAGCTCGTATAAAGAAATCGCAATAAAAGATGCTCGACACGTTTATGTTTATCCATCCCCCGGCCGGAGCATAAGGCAAACATCAAACATCATCATCAGGCGTCACAGTGGATCAAATGGTGGACAAGCCCAAGCAGTTCTCGCTGGCTTGAAGCTTATAAAAAGCCTCTGGCAAATGACTTCACTGACTCCGGCCACATTTCATTAGTTTGGCATTACACATTACATAGATCATTATTGATGGCGCTAGCTTTCAGAGCACTTACTTATGCATAGACTGCTTAGAGTAGATCGAAGCAGAGACAAACTCTCTGGATTGAGAATGAAATAGCTCAGGTACTACTAGATATTGACTGGATAAGGGACTGGACTATATAAATGACTAAGACAGAAAACTAAAAGCTGTGGCTAGCCCATCTATCTAGCTATTTCTTAATGGAAGCTCAAAGAAAAATGTTTTTATTCACTTCTATTTTTCAGGCAGTCAGAAGGAACTATACGTTAGTTAAAGCAACTATTGAAATTGTACAACAAAATTATTGAAACTCAGTTACAATCTCTTCTAGAGAATTTTGGTTAATGGAGCAAAGCTCTCTAGAAGAGATTGTAAGGAGATTGAATACTGGACCATAAGTCCCTAGAAAAAATTGTATATCAGTTTCAAGGCATTTTGTATTCAATTTTGTTTAGATGAATTTAATGTTCATGGATTCAGCAAAAAAAAAAAATAAAATAAAAAGATAAAAATAATAATAATAATAATATTAATAATATTATCCTCTGGCACTGCTCTACAATTGGTAAATCGACATTGAAATCATATATACCAGCAGCAACGTCCGTTTGACGTGTATGTATGGTGGCTCGCAGAGAAGCTAGTTCTCTTTACTTGTTCTCATTTCACTTCTTTGGCTCATCTCATCATCGCTTTGTTCTTTCAGTTGTCGGATGGGATTTGTTGAGTTTTTTACGTGTGTTTTTTTTGGCATTTGGCATTGGTGATGCGCAGCGAGTGCGAAGCACTGAACCAGAGCCAAATTCAAAGTCAATATCAAAAGCAAGTGCAAAAACGAATGTAAAGCTAAATCGTTTCAGCAAGAGATGGCTCCACTGCACATGATAATTGTGTCGCACGTCGCAGGGGCGTGAATGAACAAAGTCACAACTGAATTAGTTTTACATAAAAACAAATGCACTCACACACACTCAGCCACACATACATACTCGTAGCTCGTCAGCTCAATTAGGTTTTAATGCGCAGATCTAATTGCTGCGCTTGCTGCAATTACGTCTGCCACTGCAAAGCCGCGCTCCATATAAGCGCCAGCCTCGACACAGATCGGCACCACTGGCTGAACGAATCGCAGCTGCCAACATGCGTCTCCATCTGCTCGTAGCCCTGGCCCTGACCCTTCTGGCCGTATTGGTAAGTGCAGTGGCGATCCACTAGCCAGCCATATTCATTGACTGCTTCGACTCGCCCACAGCAATCGGCCATGGCTCGAGTGGTGTCCTATCAGGATGTGGTGCAGCATCATCGCTCGAGCATGGCGGCCGGCTTAGCTGGCGTTCCGTCCGGACAGCCGCCGCAGCACGGTGGCCCCCCACCGCCGCCGCCACGCACCACCACAGCCGCCAGCTCGGGCTGAGCTTGGCGCTGACCCAAACAATTGACCCGGAGGACTACGAAAGCCACATATAAACAAAGCTAACTCTTTTATCCTCGCACTGTATTGTACATATGTCACACTCTAATAAATCGAATGTAGCGAAAAGCAAGCGAAACCGTGTTTCACATGTGATGCAGATTCAGAACTAAAGGATCTGGTTAAGAGATCCTGTATCAAGGTGATTGAAATTTAAGCTATGCCTTATTCAATTAAGCCTTATTGGCTGCTAATCTTTATGAGTTTGGAAAAGAGCTCTGAAATATACGCAAGAGAAACATTGCTAATAAATTAAATCAAATTTATAACAAATATTTGGCCAGTTGCTACTTGAATGAGCAACTTTTGGCTGTTTGTAAAGTTTTATTAGCATTAAAATCAACAGGTTTTGATATTGAGGAAATTTTGTTGGAGTATCTTTTTTTTCTGAATCAGAAACAGAAAGAGCAAAAACTAAAAATAAATTTAAAAAATATATAAATAAAATATTCAATTGAATCTAACATAATATTATATTTTTCATTTATATTATTATTAGTTTTAATTTTTTTAGAGTAAAGTTTGTTTTAAAAATCTTCATTTATTTGAGTACATTAAGAAATGCAAATTCCATAAGCCTTAAGCCGTAAGCCTTAAATCAAGAGCTGTTATTTGGATTTTATATAAAAATTGTTGTTTAATATTTATTTCTTATTTTAATCATTTAAATTAATTTGAATAATTTCTTTTTAAATAACTCAAATAATAAATAAATAATTCTTGTTCTTTAATTTTTCCTATAAAAATTAAAGCCGTTACGGTCCTTGATCAACACTTAATTTCATTAAACACAACATGTGGGTATATATTGATATATATTTTATATTTTTATAAACAAATTTCCTGGTTTTTGGGACATCGACAAATGGAAAACCTCAATGAATGTGAGCCCAAACTAAAATCAAAATCAATATCAATGCTAAGAAAAGTTTCTTTTTTTATCACAGAACAGAAATAAATTTTAAAATTTTTTATGAAAAAAAAAAAAAATTAAAAAAATATATTCAAAAAATAAAAAATGATAATAATTATAATAAAAAAAAATATATAAAATAAAAATTAAATTAAATAAAAATTGGAATAAAATATATACTCATAGCAAACTTTACTCTAAAACAAACATAAAATAAATGACTAAACCAATTCAGGCAGCCACAAATCCAAGTTTAATTTCATCACATAGTACAACTCGTATGCCCATTGATGTAATTTCGATTCACGTGAAATGGTTGCAATTAAAAGCTTCGTTTGTTCTTGTTTTTCATGAATGTAAAAAGCTGGTAACGCCCCAGGAGAAAACGATTGTAATTGCAAATAATAAATTGTGGGAGTTGTGCTGCTGCTCCGACACTGCCGAGCGAGATGCGAATCTAGAACCATTAAAAAAAATAAAATAAAATAAAAAAGCCACAGAAAACTATGCATACGAATGCATCTAAGGCTGAAGGCTGCCGGCTTGCGTGGCTGGGGAATTTACCGCAAATGACATCATTGAGCCCCATCTTGATAGTCCTAATGGCAGTTTGCAATAAATGGGCTTATCGTCACTTGCATTCACGACAATTTACGAGCGGAACTTGCGGCATTCAAAACTTAACAAAGCCCTCAAATCGGGAAAGATGAGAGATATGTATATGTGAGATGATTATGATATGAGTCATTATATATATGTATAGATAATATATTATATGTATTATGTATTCATAGATTTTGAATTGGCATATGATAAAATGAATTCAGCAAAAGCCTCGCCCAATGCATTCATTCACTATAATTCACAATGCTCATTGTGAACGTATTACTTATCTGGGCATCTGGCTATATCATATGAATGAAACTAAACGCAGCTGCAGCTGTCATAAAAACTTTAATATTTATATACACACACATATGCATACATACATACATATATATAAAGTTGGCAATAATTGTTGAATTCCGCAACGAAGACAACTATAAATCATCGTCGAGTCCCGAGTGCAGCCCACAGTTGTAGTTCGACAACAAGTTGAGTGGCTCTCCGTGGCTCAGTGGTGCAGCTAACATAGACAGATGCGCCGCTTATTCAACATATTTGGGCTGCTGCTCCTCCTCTCCCTCCTGGGGCGGTTGCATGCGGCACCTGTGGGCGAGCATGTCGATTATGCCGGCTGCATACGTGTGACGATCATTAAGCGGCCGTTGACCACGCCTACAACTACAACAACAACAACAACAGCGGCCGCTACAACTGCGCCCGCAGTGCCACCTGGCTAAAGCGAAAAGCTGACTCGGTGTGTGTGTGTTGTGTTGTTTTCTTTTTTTCTGTTTCTGTTTTCTGTTTGAAATAAAGTGAGCTCCAAGTGCTGAACAAAAATCGTTGCATACTTTTAAGCGGCAGCTATTAAACGAGTGTTTCAATTCCAATCGTTTCGCTAGTGCTGCCTACTCTCGCAGCCTGATATCTCTCAATCATTGTACATATAATAATGCCTGACTACACGAGCTTGCGTTGCATTCCGAAGTTTTGTGCCCACTCCAATCGCTGGGTCGACTTCAGAGTCGCTGATTTGAGCCGACTCCACTATTTGTATTACTACAGTGCCTGGCGCTGCTGCTGCTGCTGTTGCTGCTTCCCCAGGGCAATGTTAATTGGATGATGGCAAATGCAAAGGCAAAGGCGAACCGCACAATGCACAAACAAGCTGCCAAATATAATTAAATATTTTATCGCATAAAAGTGTAGGAAAAGTGCCAAAATGAAACGACAACAAGAAAATGAGCAGCCGGCATGCGTTGGCCTGACCACTTTGCATACTTGTGGGCGGTGCTGACAGGAGCAGGAGCAGGAGCAGGGGCAGGGGCAGGACCAGGGACAGGGGCAAAGGATTAAGAGAATGGCAGGGGAAGGGACTGGGCCGGAGAGGATGGTAGTCTCTGTGTAGCCTGGGCTCAGGTGGAGAGGCCGTTCTCCTAATATTGTTAGACCTGACATTGTTGTCGTTTTACGTAGTGTCTGTGTATGTGTGTGTGTGTGTGTGTGTGTGTGTGTGTGTGTGTGTGTGTGTGTGTGTGTGTGTGTGTTGCTTAACACATGTTCCACAAACAATACGCCCGCAGCTCAGTTGGCCCGTTTCGCCAACCTCTCGCCACCTGACCCCGAATACAAATTTCCATTGCCCCCAGTTGCATTTCTTTGGTCTTTAGGTTTTTCAGATGAAATCTTTTTTGGCCTGCAGTTGCGCCAACAACAACAACAACAACAGCAACAGCAACTACAAGGCTAACGTTCCATTGTTCGGACAGGGCCCGAGCAGAATATGTTTTTGTTTTTCTTTTTTTACTCTGTTTTTTCGACAATTTCCATATGAATTTTAATTATAATTTTTCTATGTTCATTTTCATGAAAACAATCAAAAATGACTTTTGTGCCGCAGCAACAGCAGCCGCCTCAACCGCCCCCAACCTGGTGTTTGGTTTGGCTTAGAATTGGCTGTGTGGGAGGCCGAGAGAGAGAGAGAGAGAAGGATTGAGGGTGACAAAGAGAACTAGAGTGAGCGCTTGGGTGGAGCTACTTGCAGACCCACTGCAAATTGTCACTGGCATTTATAGCCGGCAGGGCAGCCTAGTCAACAGCTGCATTAGTATGCGAGCATTTTGTTTGAAGTTGAAATTTGTTACTCTTCCAATGCGCTACAATGAAACGAGTCGCTCGATGGCCTTTAAAAGAGTAGAACCAAAAACACGAGTACCACAAATCAATGAGTAATATGAGGTGACGTGCACAACAAGAGTAATGTGGAGTATGAGTACAGTAAGAGTACAGCAGAAAGAGCCAGAGCAAGTAACGAGTAAAGAGTTGGATAAACAAAATAACGAGTGGAGCATGATTATGAGTAAGTAACGAGTAGAAATAGATACGCGAATAGAAGAAAGTAGCGAGTAAATTAAGGTAAGCTTATAAGAAGATAATAAATAGAAGACAGTTAGAAAAGTAGGAGCGGAACTAAATAACAAGTTGAACCTAAATTGAAACAGCTTCAATTAGAATCATCTCTATTGAAGTTAGATTGTCAAAGCTCGACAGAAGCTTTCTTAGCTCAATGCTCTCATGTGATGAGAGGATAAAGAGGAAAGAACGAGTTGAGTGTAAAAAGCGCAATGAATCATTTACAAAACTTACTTATCATATATATTTGTATTTAAACTTTATACGCAATTTAAACTATTTAAACAGAAATTCTCTCATCTTTAAAGTCCAACTATCTCCTCTTTAGAGTCCAACTATCACCAGTTCTTATAAATTATTCGTTTTATTTCGTTGTATTTAAATAAACTATGCAAGTTCTAATAAATTTATTAAATAAAATTAATTTATTATTTATTTATTCATTTATACATTTATTTATTTATTTTTTTTTTTTTTGACTTTGCATTTAGATATCATCAAGCTCAAATGATGCATTATTATTATTATTATTTTGATTATTTTATACTATATTGCATATAGATATCAACACTCCCAAGTTCCAGTGTTGCAAAACACAGGCAGCAGCTAATAAGCTTCTCCATTTCAACAAAAAAAAAAAAAGAACAAAATACAAGGCACAGAAATTATATGCCAACATAAAAAGTAACACAAAAGCAAACAGCGACATAAACAAGTTAACTGAGCAGCTTTTGTGCCTGTTGTTGTACCTGTTGTTGTTTCTATTGTTGCTGCTGCCGCTGCTGCTGCTGCTGCTGCTGCTGGTGTTGTTGCTGCTGCTGTTATTGGTGACGGCGTATGGCAGGCACGTTAGCGAGGCAGCTTCCGTTTCCGTCGTGGCCAAAAAACAATCCACCCATATGACAACTGCCGCTGTCACCGGGCTCTGCCACTGGATCTGGCCATGCATGCCAGAGCCGTAGCTTTGAATGCGCCGCAAGGTGGCGCACATGTGGCATGTCTGTTTTTGAGATTTGCACCTGGGCTGCCAGCCCACTGGCCGCAGGCCCTAGCCCAGTCCAGGCCCCCATCGCCCCATCGCCCCATCGCTCCCCGGCCCGGGTGTCCATAACGAACCGTTGTCATTATGCATTCTGATGACATTTTCGCCGCTGTCTTTTGTGCGAGCTTATTTTAGCAGCGGCTAATTAAGAGCCAGCCAACTAGCAATGGAAATTCTATACAGCATATTAGTGTGCCAGTTGAATTGAGCGGGCTGTCTGGGCTGGGTATACCCCCAAGCGACTAAACGGAAGACAGAGGATGCTTTTGTGTAACTCCATGCAGCCGGTAGATGGCAGCATGTTCAATCTCAGTTTACAGTGGAATAAGCTAACTACAAAAGTCCAAAGAGTGGATGTATATTATTGTGCTCATATAGATATAGATTAGTCGCACATATTCAATATATACTATATCAATTTACTGAAGATATTGATAGAAGTTCATAGTTTGAGAAAGGTTTTTTTTTTTTTTTTTTTTTTTGAAAATATATTTAATTTATATTTATTTGCCTGTTTTTTTATTTTTTTTTATTTTTTTATTTTTTTATTATTGGTCTTTTCTTAAGAGGGTCACGAAATGTTATATATACAACACGTCAGATATAACTAAACTCAGGAAAAATCGACTTGTTGACAGAAGTCTTGAGTTTTTATGAAGGAGTAGCTGCTGTTTATAGGTATAAGTATATGTATAGGGATAGGTATAGGTGTAGGTATATGTGGGTATAGGCATAGGTATAGGTATAGGTATAGGTATAGGTATAGGTATAGGTATAGGTATAGGTATAGGTATAGGTATAGGTATAGGTATAGGTATAGGTATAGGTATAGGTATAGGTATAGGTATATGTGGTATAGGTATAGGTATAGATATATAAACACCCTAACTTCATTCTCTTCTTTAAGAGTAAGTATCTCTCTCTCTCTATCTCTATCTCTATCTCTATCTCTATCTCTATCTCTATCTCTATCTCTATCTCTATCTCTATCTCTATCTCTATCTCTATCTCTATCTCTATCTCTATCTCTATCTCTATCTCTATCTCTATCTCTATCTCTATCTCTATCTCTATCTCTATCTCTATCTCTATCTCTATCTCTATCTCTATCTCTATCTCTATCTCTATCTCTATCTCTATCTCTATCTCTCTCTCTTTCGCTCTCTCTCTCATTACTATAGGTTTCAGTTGAGATTCTTCTCGAATGATCTCCTTCCATATAGTGTATGGTTAACTCTATAATTTGGCCGACTTCTATGCTGTGCTATAGTTTGTATAGATTTCGGCTGGCAGCTGTTTGTTGTTGTGCGGCTGAAAACTAATTTCGCAAACATTTGTCAGCTCATTAACAATTCAATTTGCTGCATAAACGACCTAAACATACAAATAAACAGACGAGCAGAGACAAAGACTTGGGGCGTGGCAGGGCCAAGGGGCTGCCGGTGGCTGCTAATAAGTAGTAGTAGACTTGCCAAACACACGCACGCCCACACACGCACACGCACACGCACACGCGTGGACATAAGCACATAAATAACAGTAAATATTCAATTAACAAACCCTTTGCCGTCCACAGCCCAAGCCCGAGTTATGAGCCACAATTTCAGTTGTATTTTTTACTTTATTTCCAGTTTTTTTTGTTTATTTGCTTAGTAGTTCGCTTTGATTTGGCAAAGGTTTAGGTGGAGGCTCAGATCCCGTTTCCAGTTCCAGTTGCTGTTCCAGTTCATCATCACTGCGGGCCTTTTTCTAATTACACAAAAAAGCAGCTGCTTTGAACCCGTTCGCAGGAGGCGGCACAAAGACCAAATAATTATGAATTGTATTTTATTTAATTTTAAATATTTACTAAGCTACCAAAGGAACATTTCGGCCGGCAGACCGCCTCACGCTGCCGTCTCCTGCACCGCCTTGAGCTTGGCCCGTTTCGCCAGCTTCTGCGGCGGCAGCTGCGTGCGCCGACTGCGACGTCGCTCCAGCCAGCGCCGCACGAACGGCGTCAGCAGGCGGGTGTCCAGGGCGTCGAGGTCCGTTTCGCGCAGCACCAGGCTCGTCACGAGCGCCACGACGATGGTCAGCAGTGCTCCGAAGAGCGTGAAGTACAGGTAGGAGATTCGATACAGATGGAAGGGTGCATCCGAGGCGGCGCTGCAAAGCGGGCTGATGGGTAAGTGAATGCGGAATGAAAGTGTTGCGTCTCACCTGATGGCGCCATCTAGCGGCAGGCTGCTGAACGCGCGCCGCTCGCCCGCAAAGGTGTAATTGCAGCCCAGCGTGGAGTAGGGCTTGCGCTGATAGACCAAGTCGCCCGTGACCAGATCGTGCTGTGCCTTAATGCACATCCAGGCCATGACCAGGAGCGAGCTGACGCCGCCGAGCAGGGCGCCCTTCGAGTTGACCCAGGGCAGCAGCACGCCGGAGGTGAAGATGCCCAACAGCGGCCCGTTGGCCACGGAGGTGAGCGTGATCGTCAGCTGGAGCACTGCGCCCAGCTTCTCCACGATGAAGACAAGGGCGACAAAGATCACGCCGAAGACGACGACGACGCTGCGCATGACAAACGCCGTCTGCGTCTCGGTCAGCGGCTCGTGCCGAAAGGTCTTCACGAAGTCCTCCAGCACGACGGCCGACAGTGAATTGAGGCCGGTGGAGAGCGAGGAGAGCGCCGCACTGAACACCCCAGCCACAAAGATGCCCGGCAGGCCCGGGTAGGTGCCGAGCGTCTCCATGACCAGCAGCGGCAGCAGCTGATCGTTGCGCTGCGCCAGCTTCGTCTCCAGCGGATCGCAGTCCGCATAGGTCGCATAGATGAGCAGGCCCGTGTAGCCGCAGATGGCCAGAAAGGCCAGCACGCCGCCTATGAACGTCCAGATGGCGATGCGCGCATCCCGCAGCGTCGGCAGCGACAGATACCGCTGAATCATATTCTGACTGATCGCGTTCGACTTCAGCCAATGGGCCACGCCCCCCAGCACCAGGGAGTAGAAGGTGTAACGCTCGCTGAGATCGAATGTGAAGTTGGGCGACTCGACGCGCGCTGTTTGCTTGGCGCGCTGCCAGACCACGCCCGGTCCCCCGATGTCCATGGTGCCCTTGATCAGCACCAGCGCCATGGCCCCAAACATGATCAGCGTCTGCACCACATCGGTCCACACGACGGCCTTCAGGCCGCCAATGCAGGTGTAGAAGATGCACACGACACACACGCAGGGCGTCACGATGTGGATGTTGACACCGGTTGCCTGGTTGAAGGCTATCGCCGGCACATAGATCACAATGGGCAGCCACAGGAGCTGCGAGATCATAGAGGTGTGGGAAGTTAGCAGGAGGCGATAGGAAGGGAATCATTGTACACTTACCGAGGCCATTATAAACATAATCGAGCCAAAGAGTCGCAGGCTGCGATTGTAGCGCTGCTCCAGGTACTACATAAAATAGATAAAAGCCCCAACACGCTTCAGTCTCAGCTTGATCAAATATGATTGCTAATCACTTACCTTGTAGGTGGATATCAGATTGAGCTCATGGAAAACTGGCAAGAATATGTAGAACATGCAGAGGCCCATTAGCACCAGGGAGCCCATGATGTACAGATACTGGGCACCGTACAGGTAAACCTCGGTGGGTGTGCCCAGCAGAGTGATGCCCGAAATAAAGCTGGCGAAAGAGAGACAGAGACGGCGCTATTAGACAAATTGACGAGAATCAACTTCGTAGACCCCTCGCTTTACCTTCAGTCGGGCTCGTTTCCGCCGACAGCCGAAAAAAAAAGACAGACTGAAAGAAAAACCTCTTTTGGGGAGATCAAAGAGCGTTTTATGCAATTTAATTAACAGCGACACTGTTCGCTGTCGCCAGCGACATACGGGCATAAGTCTCAGCTGTGTGGATGCTACAGTGGTTGCTCTTCCACGAGACATCTGAGAAAATATGACACAATTTGATTTGCTGCGTTGATACGCAGCGTGCACACAGTTCACACAGTTCACAGTTCCAGCTGTAACTAGCTATAAGTGGAACAATCTCTCAGTTCAGCTCAGCGCGAATCGAGCGCCATGGAGCCCATTGTAATAGTTACTAGTGTGATTAGCCTAACCTAGGAAAACGTATGTAGAAGAGAACTCAAGTCTGGCTTTGCCGAAATATTTTGTTAAGCTTTTTACTATTAGAGTATCCGAAGTGCATTGTAAGATAAGTGTATAAGTTTAATAAGTCATCAAATTTGGATTATTCAGCTTGAATTATACGATTTTTGACCAACTGACAGCTTGAACTTTTAATAGCTAGAAAGCCAATTCGAATCAAATATATGTATATTTATAACGATAATAAGAGGGAAAGAGGAAATAATTAATGATCTACAAGACATTCACTTCCAAAGATCATTGGACAACCCAATGAAAACTTAGTAGTTCTATTTTGTAAATCATTTTAAACTTTGAGCTTATAACTAAATTTTGTATTACGCCAAAGTTGATCTTCCGATCGTCCGATTAGTTTAAAAGATCTAGAAGTAATTCTCCTCCTCAGAATATATTTTACCGTTCAAAGAGAAATCTGGGAAAATCCGAAAAAAAATTTTTAACTCTTTACTCAAAACTTAATTTCAATTAAGCAAAAGTTATCCTTCGATCATTTGAATAGCTCAGGCGATATATGCAAAGCTCTGGCACAACATTTGCTCTTCAGGCGACCAGTGAACAAAGATCGAATAAAGGGAAATTTAGGAAGATCAGAAACATTTTGAGCTCTATACTAAATTTTGATTAAACAACAGTTGATCTTCCGATCATGTGCTTGAAAGTTCCTAGCAAAGAATTAGATCAACTTTAGGTCAGCTGGCTATCTGCGATCGAAGATTCCAATTCACAAAAAAGGAAATCAAGTAAAATGAGAGATTTTGTACTCACCTCGAGATAAGCGACATGGTGATGGGAAAGATTTTCATTTTCCTGCCGCCCACCAGGTAGGAGGCGGCGCTGCTGGCCGCCTCCTCGGCGCCGGTGGCCTTCAGCTGGCGGGACTCGCGGCGCAGCTGCAGGCAGAAGTGGATGCCGATGACGGCGCAGATGGCCAGCATGAGGCAGAAGACCACGTAGTCCGGCCAGCCGAAGCTCTGCAGGCTGATGCGCAGCTCGTCCACATGCATCTTGCGGCACAATAATCACAGCTACAATCAGATCGATCTCTAGCTATATCGATACAACTATCGAATCAGCTGTTGTTGTTGCACACACAGGAAAAAAAAAAGTGAAGAGGAACGAAACGCAACGAATTGAATCAAATGAAATGCCACCGCACAGCTAGACGCATGAAGAGTGACTGAGAGATCGCACATGCGGCACATCCCTGGATTGAGTCGGCTTGGTCTTCGGCTCCACTGGCACGGCTCAGCGTACAGGCGGGCAGCTCAAACTGTCTGTTAAATGCTCATGATTCTGATTCAGAATCTGATTCAGATTCCGATTTAGATTTGCTTTAACAGTCTCGGACTTCGGATGCCAGCTGCGAGCAGCGAACTCGTCGCGCTCGTTAATGTTGTTGAGGCAACTATTACTATAAATGATATAATGGCAATTCGTCTACTATTTTATGAATACCCTGTGCACGCAGTGTGCGCTAAGTGGATGTGTTGGTTGTGATAGGTTTCTAACCTCTATGTGAGTTATGTTTATATGCAATCTAGTTAAAAAAAAAAAAAACAAAACAAAAACTTGAAATGCTTAAGTAGTGTTAACAAACCCTAAGCGACCCAAAAACTCTTTTCATTTACAGGGTATTTGTTGGTTGATCAGCTCAAACTTTGCATTTATAGCTTGTGGCGAGAACAGCTGACACTTGAGGCTTATCTAATCACCCGCCCGTCCATTGTCTTCAGGTCGCAATTGGCCCCAACTCGGCATCAATTGCATCTCACGAGCGGAACCATAGATCATCCTCATCCTCAAAGGCTGGCAGACATTGTCTTTGGTTTTGGGTCGGTGTCTGAATGGATTGTGGGGTGCCAAATGTGTAGGAGTCGCTGGCGTAAACTAACTTGATTAGATTTAGCGCGCAAATTGAGCTCAGTAATTGGCGCGAGCTCGGCCAATGTGGGCCGACGCACGAGCGAGACGGAGCCACAGAATGTGCCAGATTTAGAATTCGTAATTTGCCAGTGAGACACTGATATAAATATACATATACATATACATAGATAGATACACATATGCAGTCATCTATATACTTTGTTTTAGTCGTTAGGTTTGGAGTCAATTTGACGAAATTGCCCTGGTTATTTTCAGATTAACTGCGATTTCAATCAAAGAATCTGCGGCAATCTCAGAACTTGACCTTATTGTAAACGATGCACACAAACTGCACTTGAGTAAGACAAATAAATTATTTTCAATTATTATTCGTTTTTTTTTATGAAAATTACTTTCTTGGGCAAAGAAAAAAAAAAATTATTTCCATTTTATGTAAAATTTTGGTTGCTGCAGGTCAGCTAAACTTTGGTCTAGCACCACCGAGAACTGAGCTCCGCCATCTGTACCCGTTTATTTTATAGCGAAAGCTTGTTCAAGTACTCCAGAATAGCCGAGCTGTCGGTGCCCAAATCCAAATCGTTCTCCATATCCCCGTCCGCTGGAAAAATAGAGCCCATATTTAATATGGTTAGCCCAATAAGTGGGCCCTCCTATGTCAGACTCACCACTGCCAGCAATGCCGCCATTCATGGCCAGCACCGAGGTGGCCAGCTCCTTGAGCGTGCGCTCCAGTTCGCCCAGTTGCTCCAAGTCACTGACGGAGGGAGCTGCCCGGGCTGAGGCGCAAAGGCACAGCAGCAGCAGCGCGCAGCCAATGTAGATCCAGGTCGCAGCCATTGGGTTGGGAGACAGAGTTTTGGCCATCATCATCATGTGTCCAGGCTTTTATAGAACGAACAGACTAATGGAGCCGATTTTCCGCTCAATTTACAGCATTAAACACTGAGCAAATGCCTCCGCGAGCAGCAAATGAGCTGTGACTCTGATGGGAGATATGTGGAATTAAAGTATTACATACATATGTATATGTATGTGTATATGTATGTGTGTAAAATATATATGTTAACATAGATATGTATTGTATATAGATGCTAAATATAATACGACTTTAAGTACAGCCTGTTGTAGCCTAGAGCGTAAAGTATGGTTTAAGACTCCTCCACTGGATTCTCTCCTTTAGAGATTAGAGACTAAACCAGAAATATGTTTATTCATATGCTTGACAAACCTAAGAGTGACCGTAAATACCTTTGAATATCCAGTACTTTCTGCTCCATATACAAGCAAAGCTTTACCGGGTATTCCTTATTCACAAGTAAAGTAGCGAAAGGTGTGTATCGTTCACAGCTAAAATATCACAGGGTATTTACCAGTCTCAACAAATTTATAATTGATTAATTTGAATGCAAAGCTAACAATCTTCATATATGGTCACCCTAAGCGCAGCATTTGGCTGCCCAGCCCGCGGATATGCTACAAATATGAGAAAGAAAGAGAGGGAGAGAGAGAGAGGGCGACTGCCGCGATGCAGTTTTGGTCGAATTGCTTATGTCTGAAATTGTTTTAGCATTTCACTGTCTGTCATGTTCTATACTTAACGTTTGCAATGCGTTTTCATTTTTTTATTTATTTTTCATTTTATTTATTTTTTTTTTTTTTTGCCATTTTTACTACAGCAGCTGCGACTGCAAAAAGCGTCTGCACTTTGCTGCCAATCGAGGCATAAAATGAGCAGCAAGTGCCACTACAGCACCCGGCAGTGTGACAGAGAGGGCCATAGACCGTGCATAGCGAAAGAGAGCGAAACATAGCGAAAAGGTGCAAACATACGCATGCACACATACACACACACACGCACACAACCTCAGGTAAGCTTAGACTTTTATCAGAATCAAAAATTCCATATGACGCATGCTGAATTTTTGAAATGAGCGTTACGAATCATATGACTCATGATAGGGTATAAAAATAGTTTAGAGAACCCGATCTATGCGGTAAAATAAATATAAAATATAATAAATAATATACATGTATGTATATGTAATAAATAATATATATGTAATTTATTGTAATTAATTGATGTTATATTTATGATTAATAACCAACTACTAAAATTTTTTTTTTAGTTCTTATAATTTTTATTATGTTATTTTTTATATTTTTAAAGTATTTACCTTTTGTTTTGATTTTTTAATTATCATTATTTAAAAAAGATAGTAATTAAAATATTATTGCATATTGTTATTATTGGATAAATTTTTGTTTATAATTACTCAAAAATAAAAGAAAGTAATTAGTATTATTAAAACATTATTTATGATATGTATATTATATTTAATTATAATTTTTTTAATATTTTTATTTATTATCTTTTTATGTATGTATTTTTAGCTGTGGCTTTACTATATTAATCGCAACCCTGAGCTTTTCATTTCCCTATTTATATTTCACTTATTTAATTCGCGCAGGATCTTATACATAAATACAATTAATTTATATTATAAAAAATTACAAGTAATATCGTTTCAAATTTCCTTTCTCTGATCGTTTATTATAGCGCTCTCTCTGGGTCGCCTATCGCTCGACCTATGCTCGATTCGCACATCATTTTAATTTTTTTTTTTTTTTTATATCACAGCCTGAATAATTTTCTTTTTATACATATTTTCGCTAGGTACTAAAACGGCAGCAGCGAATTAATTAATTCCAGTGCAGCGATTTTTCAAGAAATACCCCCTTTTACACACATATACACACTCGGCGTGTGTGTGTGCGTATGTGTGAATGTATGCGTCTGTGCACTTAAAACGCTTCTGCAGGTGTTGTGATATTATTTGGAATTATGTTGGAATTTTTCTAGCACTGCGCCCTTGCTGAAATGCTCTGAATATTATTTGCATTTTAATTTTGTTTCATGTTTCATATGTCTCTTAATCTACACGCACACACACACGCACACACACACACACACACATGTGCACCTTCAGCTGCTTTGAGTCGTTGTTTATAGCTAACTTTACAGTTGAGAAAGCATTGCTAAAGTGGTTTTAATTAGTTGCCCTAACGGGTTTTCGGCCCGGCCTTCTGCGGTTCAGGAATCGCGCTAGCGAGCGCAATTACAAAATGATTGCAGGCCAATTCCCAACATCCGCGAGCCCCATCAAATATGCACGAAACTCATGTATGCAAGGACTAAAAATATATTTCTTTACAAGGCAAACTGTACGTACAAACGGTAAGGTTTTACATACTAACGAATATCAGTAGAGCATGGAGTCAGCTAAGGGAAGGTCATCATGATATCGCCATCTTACGCTGCGGGTGCTGCGGGTGCTGCGGGCGCTGCGACGGGCGTGGCCGCTGTCGTAGATCCTTGGCTGTTACTACCAAGTGAGCAGATGGCAGCGAATTGATCCAACAATTTCTGAAAATAGAAAATCGCATCAGACAGATAGGAAATACACCGTCCACAATTTATCTATTTCGATAACATACGTTGGCAACGAGTTTACAGGCTGGCGCCGTGAATATGTTCGCTCCGCAGATTAATTCGACTTTCGATTTCAGCTGCTCAATTGAACAGTTCTGCAAATAAGGAATCTATAGTTAGTTCTGTTCTGGAACTGAACTAGTTCCGTACGTACCGCACTGGCTTTCGGCGTCATCTGCGCTAGGCAGAGAAAAGCCACAGCCAAGGCGACAAGGCTCATTGAATTTTTGCAATAGAACTGCATTATGTCAAGTATCGTCTTCTTCAGGTTACTGGATCTGAACTGAAATTTGAAATGAGCTCTAGGCTTTTATATACTCACCCTGGGCAACTGCAGAGCAGTAAAAGTTACTGAAATCGTGAAAAGAGGCGATACGCCTAGATAAGAGCACGACATAGCAAAAGTCGTGCAGCTAGTGTATATGCATAATGTGGATTTTATCTAGTCTGGTTTAATTATTATTGATTTTTATAGTAGCTTGGACTTAAAAAACAAAATTGGTAAATTGTTAAAAAAAACCATAGAACATTTCGCCAATGGGCCAAAGCTCAGCTCTATGATAATAGAGGTATGCAATATGAGATGTGTTTTAGACAAGGGTTCTCAGTTGAAAAGAATTGGAAATTTGTAAAGCGGAGCTTTGATCAGGCAGTGTTGTACAGTATCGAATACAACTTTTAAAGTCCAAAAGAGAGAATATCGTATATCGATTTTAATTGAATGCGATCGATTATGTAAAATGTACTTCATCTACTTGAATAAAGCTAATCTAGTATTACCTCTAATATTCATGTAAACAAAATCAAAATGAAGTAAATATTCCCATTTAGCAGATTGCCAAATCATTTTTAAATGATGCAGTTCAGCTCAGTTCAGGTGTGGCCAGATCGTTCAGAAAATACCAGGAATTCGATTAAAAAGAAATCAACTACATCCTGCAGCTGCTCGAGCATGAAACTAGTAAAGTCTTGTATGTGTGTGTTTGAGTGTATTAGTCATTGGCTACTTGTCATATGCAAATTCAGGAGCGCACGCCTCTAGTGTGCCCATTTTACTGTCATGTGTGTGTGTGTGTGTGTGCCAGTCATCTCGGGCCCATTTACAATAATATTTATCAAGTGCGGCACACACCCAGATAGAGCTAGGGGCCGTCATATATTAGGTGGCTTGCCGGGACGCACCATCGTCATTGTCATCATCATCATCATTAGCATTATCATTATGATGAGGCGAGCCTATGCGTGGCCTCTAATTACATCGCATTGTCATAACAGAATTGAGCGCATTTGACACGCAATTGGAGCTCACAGTTGCGCCTCACGATGACACGTGAGAAATGCCAGCCAGTAGGTGGGAAATTGAAAGGTGGGCGGGCCTGAGTCTGCCCTACTACCTGACAGTTGGCTAGTTGCAAGGGACATAAACTTGTGCTCGAACTGAATATGGAAATGAAAATTAAAATGAAAATGAAAAGGCACATGAAAATGGGAATGAGAATGGAAATGGAAATGGAAATACAACTGGAAATGTTTAGTGACAGCGCGAGTGGGAGCAGAGTCAAAGGACTGACTGTTGCATCAGTCACCACCAACCTGCCCCACTCGACATTGGCTAAGTAGATAAGAATTAATTGTTCAATGGCACGCATTGCACTTAATACTTTGAATACTCCCCCTGTTACATACGTACATACATACATACATACATACATATGTGCCGCATTTGTGTGTATGCTAAGCCATGGGCGAATTGTTGTTGTTGTTGCTGTTGTTGCGGTGCTTTTGACTTATGCCCCGTCACTTGGCCCACGCACCTTTTGGGCGGCGGTTAATCGGATAAAATTCATAATTATCGTTATTACTGTCATTTTTTCTAATGACACGCGGCACACAAATTGCGTGTACTTTTCTATTAAGATGACCTATCAAACGCACTTTGACTTCAGGCCAACCATTGCGTTACAGTCTCGTTGATTTCTCTGCTTGTTTGTTTTTCTGTTCTGCCCAATACCCTAAGCTAAGAGAGTTGTATGCATTTTTAGAAGTCGAATGTAAAAAGGACGTTGCATAATATATATTGATATAGATACAGCTGAGTGCAATGACTGTTTGATGTCTTCGAGTTGAGAACAATGAAGTAATCAATGTGAAGAGGTTTATTGATATAAATATATATTTTTCAAAATTCAATTGAAAGTATTTCTATTTCCATTCATATTTAAGACAGTTTAATGAATATCAAACTCACATATACCTACAGATATACTATGTATTATGGTTCTGCCTTAATTTTTCCACAAACTTTGACCTGCATCTTACATTGAAAACTTTGCATTTTTTGTTTCACTCCAATATAATAATCATATTATACATATATCTTTTTTA